TGCCTACAGGTACTTCCTAGGCAGTGGCACAGTAAGTGGAATCCAAACTAGAACACGGAGGCTTTGTTGAGATCAGGAGAGACAGACTACAGTTTAGGTGGCTAAAACTTGAGAACCAGAGTCGGAGGGACTGGGGAGCTATGTAAAGGAAAAGTTCCAAAAATCCAGATTGCCTGAATACTAAGTCAGGCTTCTGTAGGGTGAAACACCACAGAACAAAGAATTCCAACAGGAAGATGTGTGTGCTGAACTGTACTTAAAAGCAGCTAGTGGAAGGAAGGATACATTACAGGTAGGGGAACAAAAATAAGAATGACTACTGATTTCCCACCAGAAACAATGAGGACAGGAGACAACGAAATACCTAAGGGGCTAAATGAAAAAGAAAATTATCAGCTTAGAATTCTATGTCTGCTGGAAAGTGAAGACTTTCAACAAATAAGGAAAAGAGGCTTTGCCGCTGGAAGCAGCAAAAAAATGACAAAAGTTCTAATTGAAGGAAACTGATGCCAGAGAAAAACTACATAAAGGAGTGCACAAAGGAATGCTGGGTGTCGGGTGGGGGATACAGCTCAGTGGCACAAGCGCCTGCCTGGCAAGCATAAGGTCCTGAGCTTGATTCCTGGTACCAAAAAAAAAGTGCTGAGTGTGGTAGCCACAGTTATATTTCCAGAACTTAGGAGGCTGAAGCAAGAGGATCAGTGTGAGTTCATGGCCAGCCTGGGCTACACAGTGAGTTTAAGACCAGCCTGAACTACATAGCAAGACTCTGTCTCAACAAAACAAAACAAAACAAAACAAAACAAACTATACAAAGGAATAAGGAATGTGGAAATGGTAAATAGATGGGTCCAAAAATAAATAAATAAAACGCATTAGTAATTTAGGTCTTGTGTTCACTTTCCATAGTTGTAACCAAATACTTTAAAAAATAACTTCAGAGAGCAAAGACTGATTTTTGCTCTCGGTTTCAGAGGTCTCAGTCCATGGCTGACTGGCTCCATTGCCTTAGGCCTGTGATAAGGCAGAACACCATGGTGGAAGGGCATGGAAAGGGAAGCTGATCACCTAATGGTGGCCAAAAAGCAGAGAGGAAGGGAAAGAACCAGAGAAGGGCCAGAGCCCAGAAACAGTACCAAGATCAGGTCCCCATGATCCATTCTTTTTAACTGGCCCTCATCTCCTAAGTTTTATCACCTCTGAATAATGCCATCAAATGATGATCTCATGAAGGGATTACTCCACTGATGAAATTAGTGTCTTCATGATCCAATCTCTTTCCAAAGGCTTTACCTCTGAACACATGAGGCTTCTGTGGGACATTCTATATCCAAACCATAACAGGTCCCAACCATAACTTGCACTCCAGTTAAGTTTCTTTTTAGAGATACACACAGAATTTCTCTTAAGTCTTGAACATAGGTTTGTGCTGAGCCACAGCTGCTGGCCTTTTCAGTCCTGTGTCCTTCTCATCTACACAGTCAATACTAACTGACTACTATGTGTCATGCACCAAGATGCAAAGATAAATAAGAGGTGGCATCTGTCATCAAGGAGCTTACAGCCTGGGGAGAAAACAATCAATCTAACAAAAAATAAAGTGTGGTACCCCTAACTGGACTCGAATCCTGGCTCTATTTGCTGAGAAGCTCTGTGACTTCAGGCAACTTAACCTCTCCGTGCTGTAGTTTCCATGAGTGTAAAATAGTGATGATGGTACTACCTTATAGCATTGTGGTGACAGTCAGTGCTGTAACATAGAGATACTTGCAGAACTGGCAGAGCTGATGCCTGGCATATAATAAAGACCTAGTTTGTATTATTTCTAGTTGTTACAGGGGAGGTTTGCCAGGGAGGTGGTGGGAACACAGAGAAAAAATATCTGAGCCAGACAGGGAGTAGGACGGACCGGAAGGGTGCCAGGAGATGCTACTTCAGTGGGGTTCTGAGGACAAGGAAGGTTAGCAGATGAGGAAGGGCATGAGGTACTCGAGGCAGAAGAACGAACACTCGGCAAGGGATGGACAGGTGAACTGGCACGCGTGTGAGGCTACTGCAAAGGTTTTCAGTAGGGCTGCAGCCCAAGAAACTCTTGGGGGGTTCGGGGTTTCTCTACAAACCTTTTTGACATCTTTTAAGGGCAACTTACCTCCATCATCTGATCCATCCAGGCTCTGCTGTCTGAGGCGGTGACTGGCCCCCAAAAAGAAAAGGAGAGATGCAAGTGAGTTTCAGGAAAGAAACAGCCCCTTTTTAATGGTATCCATTCTTTGTCCTAGATAGAAACGTCCTTGTGCCTGCTTTCCTCCACCGCCCTGGCCACACTTCATCGGCAGAGTCTGCCCTGTGTGGCTGCGATACGCCGTTACAGAAGGCGGCACCACGCACACACTGTGACACACCTCCCCTGCTCACAGAGGCGTGCAAGCGGGTGGCCCTGCCTTTACAGTCACCTGTATCTAGAAACTTTCTTCCTGCGGGAAATGGCTACTGGGGATCAAACCCAGGTGTGCTCTACCACTGTACCCCAGTCCTTTTCATTTTTATTTATTTTGAGAGAGGGTTTCATTAAGTTGCCCAGGTTGGACTTAAGCTTGCAGTACTTCTGCCTCAGCTTCCACAGCACTGGGATTACAGGTGCACGGCACCAGGCCCAGCTTTCCTTTCTTTCTGATGTCTCAGGAGGCCAGGTTTAGGAATCTGGCACTGCTTGGAGGTCAGCACCCTAAACTTGGGCATATTACTTTAAAAGCCACAGTGAGAGATATCAAGTGGGCATCAGCACCACAGTCCAGACCTTCAGCTGAGGCGGCAGCATTATCCAAACTCTTGATCCGTTACACACACTCCGTCCTACCACAGCCACATTCAGATTCTTTTTTAAATTTTGTATTCAACACCAGCTGAACAATAATGGCCAGCAAGACTGCACTGCTGAGAAAGGTCACCGTGAGAAATTCAGGAGACATACTCTTCTATCTCTTCAGAAGCCTTCCTTCCCAACCTGAAAAACAAAAAGACAAGGTTTTTGAAAACCTACACAGCCCATGTACTGGAGTAGCGTTTTAGGAAAGGGTTTCAAAGACAGGGCCAACGAAGTACAAAGTACATCCCCAACCGATTTGTCCAGGCCCCACCTGGGCAGGAGAGAACGGCAGACCCTGCAGGACCTTCTTAGCACCTGATTCCAGCACAAGTCCGAACTGTTTACTGTCGTGTTCAAGCGCAGGTTCAGAGAAGCTTCAAATGTGAACCAACAGAGATGATATGGTGTCCTCCCCGACACCTAACCTACCCACTGGGAAAGCACTCTCTTAAGACGAGGCTCTGGGTCTCATCTGGGAGTGTTAGTTGGCAGCATGTGTGGCTTTCCAGGAGCAGAAGCCTTAGCACAGGCCCAGCAAGCCGCATGCAGGACCAGAGACTCTGCAAGCACTGCTGGGTGAGGAGCAAGACGTTCCTGAGACGTCTGAAGAGAACAGAACGTCTGCTTGACCCAGCTTTACCTGAAGCAGCAGCCGTCACACATCAGGGGTGTGAGAACTGTCTGGGAAGTCTGTCCAACTTGCAGGCTGCCAGGCCCAGCAGTAAGAGACTTCGGAATCAGTCCAGGGGGAGCCCAGGACTATGCACTTTAAATAAATTTCCAAGTACTTCTCATCTAAATCAGGTCACTACTGACTCTCTGAGGAACACTGATTTAAACCCTCTAAGTGCCAGGTGCAGTAGCACACACTTATAATCCTGGCATTGGGAGGCTGAGGCAGGAGGATGACTATGAGTTCAAGCTAGCCTGGGATACATAGTGAGACTCTATAAAAAAAAAAGTCTGCTAAGTAACAAAACATTGGTAATGATTAAAGTTGGCTGTGGGGTACATGATGTTGATATTTCTGTGTCTGAAAATTCCCACAATAACAGAGTTGTTTTTGTTTTAAATTGAGTTCTTTGGAGTCAGAAACCTGGCACCACGAAAAGCCCAGAGGTAGGATGCCCCGAAAGCCCTTGACAGTGCGGTTCACAGACCTCACCCATAGGAGCTGGGTCGGACTCAACCACCAAGTCCTGCAAGGTATAAATAACTCCTCCTGAGGGCCTAATCAGAATTAATTTTGGGGCAATTAAAAGAAGTCAAAAAATAAAAATAAATTAAACTCGAGTTTAAAACAGGTTACCGTCCATGAAATTTAGACTATATCAAAGGTCCACTTAAAAAGGTCATTAAGCCACAGGTCACTTAAAAGAAAGAGAAAACAACAGCTGAAGTCAGGATGGAGACAGAATGGGCAGGGAAGCTGGAAGAACAAGGAGACCTTGCAGGCTGCAGCCTGCGACTCTTTTTTTTTTTTTTTTTTAACACACTGACTTTATTTTATTTATTTATTTGATCTTTTTGAGACAGGGTCTTGCTATGCAGTTCAGGCTGATCTTGAGCTCACTTTGTAGCCCAGGCTGGCCTTGAACTCGCAACGATCCTCCTGCCTCAGCCTCCCAAGTGCTGGGATTACAGGCATGCGCCACCATGCCCGGCTCCAGCCTGTGACTCTTGAAGGGAGGAGGCTGAGCAGCAGGGTAAAAGAGCTGTAGGGCAAGGGGGCAGGGGAGGGAAGCCAAGGTGAAGGACAACAGGAAGTCGTGGCATCACCAGCATAGCGCTGCTCTTGTAAGAGGGACCCTAATGTCTATTTCAAGGCAAGGATGAGTAAATGAATACCCCAGAGCTGCCAAGTCCCCTCCTGTGGAAGGATGGAAAGCTCTTGTCTTAGCTTCCACCGTGGCTTAGCACCACTGCTTCTAATGGTCCTCATGAAGTGACAGCCCCACTCCGCCAGTTTGTTACCAACAGAAGTGCCTGGATGAAAACAAGCCAGAAAACACAAAAGGATATGCAGGTTAGGTAGCCTAGGCCAGCGCTTTCATTTGCATGTGAGATGTACGCATCTCTGAAGAAACACGATAGTGCCAGTTTTCATGGGAAGGCTGCTTAACTGCCATTTATCCACTCAACATCTGAAAAGGGGGTGAATATAAATTCAGTTTAGTTGCTGTGGAGCCCACATCCTATTTGCTCTCCCTCTGGGGGGAGCCCAGTGACTCCCCCCACCTCATTTCTCTACATGGAAGGAGGTCAAAGTGGCCCCCCAGATGGACAACAGGAATACCCTGAGGTGGCGTGTTCTCTCTCCCTCTGCCACAAGTAACAGGTTCAGGGGCGCCTTCTGCACGGTGGGATGGAGCCTCTGCCACTGATCTGGGTTACAGATGGAAAATGGCCACTTCCAGACCTTCTCCTACCTGTAAATGAATTTGTTCTGGGCCAGTTTACTTTATTTAACATGAGCTCACTGTTCAAGTTGGGAGATTTTGTACTAAAGCCCCGATCTCTAAATAATAAAAAGCCTGACAACTCTGGGCTTTGCAGCTGAAGAACCTGAGCTCCACCCTCTCTGGGGCTCCTCTCTGAATCACTGAGCCCACATTGCTGGTTTTCTGACAGGAGTCAGGAGACAAGCGGGGTGTTTCCCACAGCTGGGTGGATATCAAATGTAAGAAAACAAAGGGTAGACAAAGTAGAAGGCATGTCTTAGAGAACGAGTAAGGGAGTGTGTTTCTTTAAAGAAATATGAATATCTAAAAATTCATATATGATTTCAGGAGTACTGTAAAATACAAAATGAAACCCCGCTTCATGGATTTATTGTATCTGCCTAGTCCCCGAAGGCACCTCAGAAGGAACCTAGAGCCCAGGACACACAGAATCTGGCACAGTGTTTTTTAAGCTACAGGTCATGATCCATTAGTGAGTCATGAAGCAAGTGTGGTAGATTACCAATAGCATTTTGGATTTTTTTTCTTTCTTCTTTTTTTATAGCATAGAAAAGAATAACGCAAATAGGATAAATATAATATATAAGCTTTTGGTTTTAGTCTTATACATACACAAAACTCTTCATAACATAGGATGTGTTTTAAAATTACTAGTGAGGGGTTAAAAACAACCAAAGAAACAAAACCCTAAAACACAGTAGTCTGCCACAGCCCACCAGCGTGGGTAAGCAGAGAAGGATCTGCTGGTGAGATCCTGTCTCCCACAGATCTGGGGGACAGAGCCTGAGGGGAAAAATTGTGGGTCCCCTTCCTCACAGACAACTCCTGAGGAAACTGAGGCCCAGGTGGCCTGGTCCTGGCACCACAGCAGACCGCCTGCCCAGCCGTGGTCAGCACAGTCCTGGGCTTTCTATCCACTCCTGCACCCAGGGTCTCGGGCCTTCTCCCTCAGATGTGGCTACCAGATGTGGCAATGGTCATAATCGCTCTGGGGATTACGGGAAGCGCACACAGAGCACTTCTCAGTGGTCTCCATGCCTGTCAACACGGCCTCGGTTGAGCTCTGGAAAAGAAGCGAAGCACTTCTAGCAGCACCATTTATACTCAAGGACTCTGGGCACTGCAGTATAGGCCTCACCCAAATCACAGGGCTTGTCAGTGATGAGGCTGAAACTAGATTCTGCATCCGGACTCTCACCTGAGGCCCCACACGCATCGCCTCAAGCCTTTGAAAAAGCAGGCCTCAGTTGATTTCCCTACGTCCTGAGGGTACCCCGACGTCTGTGTGGATTTCCTGCACAGACAGCCCCTTATTACAGAAGGCAGTAGGTGGCACAGAGAATTGAAAGCTGGAGATAATCCTTTAAACAGGTGTTCTTTAGCAGGAGTGCATAGTACAAATCACACCTGGGAAGCTGCTCAATGTACATGTGCTAGGCCCCGCGAGGTAGTAAGTTCTGCAAATGAGCCCCTGTCACAACTATCAGAATCAGTGCCCTAACCCTATTTCAGGTCTCAGGCTGAACAATGCAGCTGCTAAGCAGCAGAACTGAAACCTACCTGCCTTTTCCTTCTGCCTGACATTTGCCCCTGGAAGTGTTAATAAACTTACACTTGACCTAAAGGCTGAGGTGACAAGGCAATGGCCAGGGGCCTAAGTGGCCTACAGTGAGGACTGTGTGCCCCCGTCGGCTGTGCTGAGAGTCACACAGGAGTCCCTGGCATTCGTACTAGCAGGTCAGAGCAGTGTGGACTGGATTAGAGATGCTCGTTCAATATGCAAAGTATACAGCTCGGACAATGCTGAACCAGCACTCTGAAAAGTTAATTAAATGCCAGGTTTCTTTTTAAGAGCTGGTCCATCACTTGCTGACTGCTTTGCCCATTTTGTAGAATGGAGCTCTCCCTCTGGACAATCAGAGTAAATATCCTCCTTCTCCTCCAGCATCGTGGGCTTGGGTGACAGAGGTAAGGAAACACCGGCTTCCTCCTTCCCCGGAGTGATGTGCCGGATGTGGTCAGTAGCTAGGCAAAGGGAAAACTGTGGTCGTCTCGCTGTAGGTCTTTCCAAATACCCAAAGCACTCATTCATGATGCTACCTCGGTTTATACACACCTTCCTTGAGGGGGGCGTCTTTCTGTTTCTGCCCTCATTTAGTGCCCAGTCCCCTGCTCCATGCTCGCCAGTGCCCTCGTGGTTAACACCCCAACTTCTTTCTGACCTCCGCTTGCCTTCTTCTCTGATCTGACGACTGATGCAGCCACTCTTCCTTCACACAGGCACAGGCCCTTCCCCAACACACCTGAGGACAACGGCAGGCAGCATTTACTGAGCCTGCTGGGTACGGGACACTGACACTCTTATGTTACTATTATTATGACACTGTGTGTTCCACATACTATTATACATAGTGCCATAGAATGAGCACATTACCTTATTTAATTCACTTCATTTTACAGGTGAGGAACGTGCCTAAGGTCACCCAAAGTAGACAGGGGAGCCCCAGATTGCAGGGCGACTGTCTGATCCAGGGCCTAGCTCTTGCCCTCTGTGATACAGACACACAGCAGTTTTACACAGAGAAGAATGCTCCTTTGCAGACCTTGCTTCAAATCCAATGAGCATTTTCCACAATGAGGACCTGCTTCCAGCTTATAAAGGGCAATGGCTTTGCC